CATTTAATTCTACATAATCCTGTCGAGTCGGGATGAGAATACCTTTCGGGAAGCATATCCAACTAAAATTTAATTGAAACGGGTGCCCTATTTTTCGTTTTAAAGTATGTTTTCCACACCACCAGTATATCATACGTGCGAGATGTATTCACCTTATTTCGTTTTATCTGAAAAGTGTACTGCTACTTGAATTTCCCACAATTATACGAGTAAGCCTTACATCTCCAATTAATTTCACAAAGCTATTCTTCATAAAATTTATTTTTTTTCCGATTATGGTGTACTGCAATTTCAACCTGGCATCCTTAACCGGACGTGAAACATGACTGCGGACTGTATCGTCTCAGCACACTAACCACTACGCCACATAGCTTTGAGTGCCTTTGGATCACAGGACAAATGTGCATTTTTAAGAATACCAGGCTTTTTCTAATATCACACTCTATAGTGGGACTCTTGATGAGGCAATGTCATAGTTACTTTATTGATAGATTACATTACTTATTTCTCGTTTGTAAGTAGAGTGTCGGGACTGCCAGTAAATCAGACTTACCAAATGTGTTCACACTATTTCGCTTAGGGTGAGGACGGTATGGTAGTCGAGAGCCTACTCACAAACGAAATATAAGCAATGCAGTTGATTGCTATAGTAAATACAACTTTGCTTCCTCGATATTTGCACCACATAATGTGGCATGGGAAAATGCCTGGCCTTCTTTGAACTTCACATCTACCCCATGACCCAACAGTTTTCGTGGCAATGAGGCCTAGTGATTAAGGTGTAGAGACTACACGCTGCACTGTTGTGGTTCGAGTCCTGCTGGAGGTGTTGATGCGAATACCTTTTGGGGGAGCATGGCTGTGTGAAGTTTAAGTAAAAAGTAAATATTGTAAAACTACCGCTTCAAATGAAAAAGTGCGAATGCAACTCGTGTTTTAAGTTGTCACTAAAGCATTACTAAAAGTCTCTTATCAAAAGTATGTCTCAACATCGACGAGCCATAGTAACCATGCCGACTAGTTGACGCCATGTTAAAGAGGCATACGGTTGGCCATCTTGTTGGTATGTCTGAGAGGCGGTGTGCCGCCTCATTGTCATGTCAGGGGGTCAATTGTTGGCAAAACGCCAAATTGGCCAATGCTCCTATCGGCTGATCTGCTCAGTCAAGACAGCTAATGAGACCGCAACAAAAGACGCCTGATTTTCGGGTCTACAATTCCGAGGCAGACGAGCCTGACGAGGCAAAGATCGGCCCGTCTGTCCGTATGTCCGTTTGTCCGTCTGTCGGTCGGTCTCTGGGCCAATTGTCTGACGAATTGTCAGACGGATTTGCATGCATCTTGCCGCGAGGCTTTGGTTGATGGGCTGTCTGTCGTCCAGCCTCGTTGGCTGCGGCATAAATCATCCGTTCGTCTCGTCTTTGCCCCAACTAGCGCAACAGCCGACTCGACTGTACCAACCTGACGACAACTCGGCCCGACGGAAGTTGAGTGCTGCCTCGTCGAGAAGTCTGTACCCTAAGCCGGTCTGATCGGGTCGGGAGAAGAGTTAAGCCTTAGCCACGTGAAAGGCCGACTGTCCCATTTGGCTTGAGTTGACGTCGCGTTGTTGGCAAGACTGTCTGTTTGTCGGTATGTCCTCCCAACCCGAAGAGGCTTCGTTTCGTCTCCCATCGACGCCTTTGACCGGCTCACATTCGGCCACAAATGCACGCCACGTGGAGCCGTGGGCTTGCGTCAGTCTCTTGTCTTTGTCTTCAAGTGGCATTTGTCGAAACCGTCGACTCGTCTAAAACCAGCCGATTGGCGTCGTCGGCATGACGACAGCTCCAAGCTCATTTGGTGGTGAGGCGATCAAACAAGGCCCTAGCAACAGGAAACATCTTCGAGTGGGTATAAAAGTGATCTCTTTGAAGGTCCATTTTGCTGTCTATCGAGGCAATTAGGCTCTGTCTCCTTCTCTTGTTCTAATGGCTCTTGTGCCACTCCTCGAGATATCGGATGGCAACAAGTTGTCAGGGCACTCATCAGAATTTCTCTGAAAGTCCCACATGTTGTGGAAATATGTAGTAGTGAGATGTCGTGGTCAGAATAAAGGGTAAGTCCGCTTCATGGCTCGTTTTGATTGGGTTAGGAAGTGGAATAGGATGGGGTTCTGGGCCGTTTTGGTAGATCGCCTTGAAAGGTAGGCAGTAAAGCATACCACTTTATGGATCAGCCTACTTGAAAGTAGTATATTGCGGATGTCAAAAATGGTCAAAGTGCAATGAGATCAGGTGAGATGACGGGTGAAATGGTCAACAACCTTCTAATTGTTGATTGGATTTATCATTTTTGCATGCAGTCCCTTCATTAGGTACCAACAAGAATACATTTAACCCATCTGGAAGGTGAATAGGTGAAGTTGTACCATTCGTTCGCCCAATTTCCCACAAGACCCTCTGAGAATTCCAAAAACGTTCAGGTCTCCCTCTTCTCTCCTCTTCTCTCCTCTTCAGACATACGAGGATCCTTCCAGTTCTTTGACAAAAACGGTGACGGCTCCATTTCTCGTGACGAATTGGCGGCCGTTATGAGTTACCTGGGCCACGAGCCGGGCCAAGCAGATCTGGAAGCTATGATGCGACAGGTGGACGGAGACGGTAAGTCAGCTGCTTCTACCTCTCTCGTTCTCACTCATACACGCACACGCACACGCACACATAAACACGGAAACATACCCTTCATACTGCCTAGTGTGATGTAAATAGTATCTTTTCCGAGTGTGTCAGTCGGCCGGATTAAAGACAGTCCACTGGGTAGGCGGCTGTTGCATTTCACAACTATTCGCTATGGCCAATGGGCAGATGTAACTTTCAAGGCAATCCACGCCTCTTCCATGTCATCGGGGATGGAGATGCGGCAAAGTTGTAATTTGCTATTGCAATCAACCACATTACTTATATTCATAGTCAGTAGTTTGGACCTGTATTTAGTTCATGTTGCACGAGGTAGAAATCCACGCCTACCCTGTGACCCCTTATCCAAGTTGTCCGTTGGGGGTGGTGATGAAGTCGGGGCAAGGAGGAAACTGAATCAGGATATGTTTTAGGAGGCAAGCTCATATGTTGGTGGGAAAAATTCTACCATTAGTCCTTTATCAGCCTGTATAACGTGGGGTAAAGAGAGCGCTTAAAAGCCAAACTGGCTGCAAACACGCCAGAATGAGATGGAAAATGTGGATAGCCTACAACTAAGAATAAAAAAAGGGTAGAAATTGAGCGCCAACTGTGCGGAGAGAAAAAGCTCTACGGCAAAACTTATTTCAATGCTATCTTGGCCCTCGCCGTCGCTGCTTTGTGAGACAATTTCTTCTTTTTTGAGACGATTGTCTGTCTATTTGTAGTTTGGACTAGTTGAGACTGACAGCGATTTAGGCCTCAGTTTGCATGGGAATTCCCTTCAAAGGGCTGTTCTCATCCGAGCCGTTCTGCAATTTTGGTATCGTCCTATCAACAGCTTCAGCGGGACTCGAACCAGCAGAACTTTGCTTCCGTGTACAGTGTAATGGCGAAGAATCGGTTACCCTTCAACACAAAAATCCCATTCTGTGAGAGTACTTTCGAAGTTATCCACATTGCTGAAACGGTAACTAACTCGTCTCAGGTGATGCAAATACTGAAAATGAAATCTTCCTTCGAGGGAATGAATGAACCCCGCTTAGCCTCGCCGCCAGAAAGTTGTTTTTCTCTCCTGTTTGAACTACATTTTTGACCTCATCCTCTGTCGGAATTCGAGACCAGGCTGTACGCCTCATGACGACATGTTGCCAGCAATTAGAGGCCCATAGGTCCCAAATCCCAGTGGTACAGTTAATTAGGCTTCTCCCAAATCGCATTTCATTGTGGGAATGCCGATGAAGTAAACTTCGATTTGCCACTACTTATATTTCGTGTGAGTATATTCTGAGGCCGCCAGTAATTTCTGAATAGGACATTGTTAACATCGTGTAGTCTGCTCCGAACATTTCATGTCCTAAAATCGCCTCAGTCGGCCTAGGCCAACTAAGTTCTCGAGCAAAAGTCCCACTAATTTGGGTAAGTTGAGTGGTCTGGCATGGAGTGGAGCGAAATTTGTTTCCCAAGATACCCGCGTAGCCTGGGTTTGAATCCCGCCAGAGTTGTCGACACGAGAGCATGCAAGTTGCAAACTCCTTTTTTAGCGATGTATG